GAAAAAAAAAAATCACACACAACACCAAACACACACAACGAGAACTAAATAGGACACTAACGAGGACTAACTAGACACAGGTGTACAACATCAAGACAAAACCAAACGAACATGAAACATAGATCGGTGGCAGCTAGTACTCCGGGGACGACGACCGCCGAAACCTGCCCGAACAAGGAGGAGGAGCAGCTTCGGCCGAAACCGTGACAACTATAGTAATTAATGTAGTGTCTTTGTAGATTGTAGTATAGTGTAGTATTTACTGTAGTGTTTTTGTTTGATTAACTTTGACATAGAATTGGAAGCTTTCTCCTTGTGGAAACATACTGGAGAAATACTAAAAGAGCCAATTGTCCATAACCTGTAGGTAGGTAGGACTGGGGTCTGAACGGATAGTTCAGAGCTTCTTTTTTCAATGCCAGTTTATTTCCAGAACAACCTGAATTCTTCGGGAAATTAATTCTACAAGCTGGAAACGTTCCACAGGGATGTTGGTCCATGCTGACGCGATGGCATCACGCAGCTGCTGCAGATTGGACGGCGGTACACCACTGCCACCAGCCTGTACTGTTGACACCAGGCAGGATGAGTCCATGGACTCATGCTGCTTGCACCAAATCCTGACTCGGCCAACAGCATGACGCAACAGGAACCGGGATTCGTCAGACCTCCATTGTCCAGTGTTGGTGATTGCGTGCCCATTGGAGCCACTTCTTGTTTTTAGCTGATTGGAGTGGAACCCGGTGTGGTCGTCTGCTGAAATAGCCTATCTGTGACAAGGGTCGACGAGTTGTGCGTTCTGAGATGCTTTTCTGCACACCACTGTTGTTTGTGGCCCAAATGTTCGTTTCCACGATTCTTGCCATTCTCCTTCGACCTCTCATCAACGAGCTGTTGACCCACAGGACTTCCGCTGAATGGATGTTTTTTGTTTGTCGCACCAATCTCGGGGAAACCATAGACACTTTCGTGCGTGAAAAGCCCAGGAGAGCGGACGTTTCTGAGATACTGGATCCAGCGTACCTGTCACCGACAATCATACAACACTCAAAGTTGCTTTGGTCCCTCGTTTTGCCCATTCTAACATTCAATCGAACAGTAACTGAATGCCTCGACGCCTGTCTGCCTGCTTTATATAGCAAGCCACGTGACTCAATGTCTGTAGGAGCGTTTTTGTGAATGGGCGTGGTGTACCTAATAAAGTGAGTGTATAACCTGTAGGGAACACAATATATGGGCTATACTTGGTACAGTATGTAGGTTTCTCACTTATGCGTGGCACAAATTGGGATATGGAGGAGGGGAATGGGCAGGGTATATGCAAATTGCATACTATAGTTAAGAAAGTGTTTTTGCGGACTGTAGTGTTTTTGCGAACATTACTGTAGTATTTACTATAGTATTCTACAGTATACTATAACATTCTATGGTAAGTACTACACATGTTAGAAAGATACTACTGTGTGTAGTATAGTATTCTACAGTATAGTACAGTTTATTATATAATCCTATAGTAAGTACTGTAGTATTCTATAGTAAACGGTAGTATTTTTTCATGTGGGCCAGAGTGCCATTTCTCAGAAATCTTTAGATATGGGACCGCAGAAACCAAGGGAAAGGTTGTTCGTTCTCTGCTACACACAAAGGTAAGAGTTAGAAAAATGGTCCCTTGTTCATACAAACTAGTCTATAAAACTATCTGTGTGCAAGGGACATTGTGTATAGGTTAGGCTGTTGTAAGTGTTTATGAGTGTGGTTCAGTGTCAAAACAACAATTCTGACTTATCTCGCAAGACATTTCCAAGACATTCATCTGGCTTTCATAATCGCTAACACGTTTCTTTCCCTTTCGATGACCCTGATCAACGATCAGTTTTTATGTGGCGTTAGTTCTCTTTGGTCAATCCTGACTTGCTAAAGCTTGAAACGTGCTTCATATTATTTCACTTCTGTCAAACCAAGTTTAAAACAATCCAGTGGTCCTGGAAGAGATACTGTAGGAGGACTTCTTGGAATATACCATGATAGATTTGATCCTATTTAAAATAATGCTGTTATTGGCGTCTACATTTTCAACTCATTAAAAAATGTATATTGCCACTTGTTCAACTCACTCACTCACTCTCACACATCTTGCATTCAGGGTGCTTTTCAAAGCAAAGCTTGTGAGTGAGTGTCCCATACTGCCAGCCTGTGCAGTGATAATGCATGCGTCTGTAATGCCACCTTTATGACAGTGTTATGAAGGCTAATGCAGGGTTGAAGAAAAGTATAACCAATTTTCACCATTTTTTATTTTTATTTTGCTTGAAATGTACTTGCTGACTTTTCACATCCTTGGCAACTCTAATCTGAATTGCGGCTATTAAAAGAGAGAAGTTATTTCTTTCAAGGGAATATGGTGTGCGATATTTCTCCATGCTTCATTCAACTGTTCAGATCAATTTGGCATCTCTGTGCTCTCTGTTGCAGTACATCTGCTTTGCACGTCTTTGCAAGGTCAAAAGCCCTATTAAAACAAGTATCTGGGCAGCATTACAGTCAATATGGAAGGCCAGAGCATTCGTTGTCACTTCAGGGAAAACTCAACCTCGATCTTAAGATTATACAACTGAACGAACGTCTGTCTCTTCAGACAGAACATATTGACTGTTATGAACATTGTAATGATCTTGTATTTACAGTATGCTTTGCCTTTCAGACGTTATTCACTTGCAACACATATGGGGAAAAGAAGGCCCTCTCTTGGTGAGTGGTTGTCAGTCCATTGGCAGGTGGAAGGTGGATCTCTGAGAGAAGAAATATGGCTATAGCATTGCCTCATCATGTTACCATCAGCCTGAGGGTATACTACAGAGCAGGGTCATTGAGTTAGCCAGCTAACTTTGATAAACAACCAGAAATAACGACAGTTTTTCTGGTTCATTAAGAAAGCTAAACTTAGATATGTGTTTTAGGTTGTTGAGACACTTAGACCATGCCCATTTCATTCTCATCTTCCTAAAAAATAAAACGTTAATTTAGTATAGTTTGGGGAGTTAGCTGGCTAAGTCATTAATCTTACTTTGTTGTAAATCCCTCAGGGTCAAGAAGCCTTGTTTATTAACTATTTGATAGAAGACATGATTATCCATGTTTTCTGCTTTGTAATCTGACAAATTGAACCAGACAGTGCATGCCCATTGACACGCATGTTCTCTTATAAAACACACACACACACACACACACACACACACACACACACACACACACACACACACACACACACACACACACACACACACACACACACACACACACACACACACACACACACACACACACAGAGAGCCAGGGGTGGTCATGGAACCTAACCCTCCACTATTGGGCCAAGTGTAGCCATGGCACCAACCCTCCACTATTGGTCCAGGTGTGGCCATGGAAACTAACCCTCCAATATTGGGCCAGGTGTGGTCATGGAAACTAACCCTCCACTATTGGGCCAGGTGTGGTCATGGAAACTAACCCTCCACTATTGGGCCAGGTGTGGTCATGGAAACTAACCCTCCACTATTGGGCCAGGTGTGGCCATAGCACCAACCCTCCACTATTGGGCCAGGTGTGGTCATGGAAACTAACCCTCCACTATTGGGCCAGGTGTGGCCATAGCACCAACCCTCCACTATTGGGCCAGGTGTGGCCATAGCACCAACCTCCACTATTGGGCCAGGTGTGGCCATAGCCCAAAACCCCCACAGGGCCCGGGGTTTGCCATGGAACAACCCCCCCACTTTGGGCCCCGGTGTGGGGGCCAAAGGAAACTAAACCCCCCAAAATATTGGGCCCGGGGGCCTAGCCCCAACCCCCCCCTATTGGGCCCGGGGGTGGCTGGAAAAAACCCTCCACTATTGGGCCGGGTGGCCAAGCAACCCAAACCCCCCACTATTGGGGCCCGTGTGGTCAGGAAACTAACCCCCCACTAAATTTGGCCTGGGTGTCATGGAAACTAACCCTATACTGGTTGCTCTGTAATTACAGGTCAGCTTCACATGGATTCACTGTGCAACAACTGTTTAAGGATAACATGGGCTGCGTTTACACAGGTAGCCCAATTCAGATCTTTTTTCACTAATTGGTATTTTGACCAATCAGATCAGTAAACGCAGCCATGACAACTTACTCATCCAGTCTCTCTCTCTCTCTTTCTCCCCCTTGCTCTCGCTCTCTCTATCTCTCTCTCTATCGCGCTCTCTCTCTCTCTCTCCTCTCTCTCCTCACTCTCTCTCTCACTCTCTCTCTCACTCTCT